CATGCGCCGCTCCATGGCCTACGCGTTCCTGCGGTTCGTCTACGAGGCGCCCCCTGCCGAGCGCCACTGCGGCGCCGCCGAGCTGCTGGAGATCTGCGGCAGCATCATCAACGGCTTCGCCGTGCCGCTCAAGGAGGAGCACCGCGCGTTCCTGGCGCGCGTGCTGCTGCCGCTCCACCGGACGCGGTGGGTGCACACGTACCACCGCCAGCTCGCCTACTGCGTGCTCCAGTTCGTGCACAAGGAGCCGGGCCTCGCCGACGCGGTGGTCACGGACATCCTGCGCCACTGGCCCGTGACCAACTGCCAGAAGGAGGTGCTGCTCATCGAGGAGCTCGAGGAGATTCTCGAGGTGCTCGAGCTCAAGCACTTCCAGAAGCTCGCCGTGCCCATCTGCTCCCGGATCGCCCGCTGTGTCAGTAGCTACAGCTCTCAGGTTCGTTTTGGCGCACTACTTGTTTTATTAATCTGTCCAGTGCTTCTTTTTTCGTGTATAAAAAAAATCTTGCGTAAGCCGGTTGCAATGCCACTGACTACATATGTTTGCACAGATTTTATTAACTCATTTTCCGAGTATGTATATTTTCGCAACTGAGTTGGATCAGTTTCTAGAAATGTGATCACTGAACATACCGTTAGACAGGCCACTTTCCTAAAAACTCCTGCACGTTGGAGATTCATATTCCAGCGATCCACCACTTCCCCATGCCGCCATGCCCCGTTACACAGGCCCAGCACCATAGATAGTTGGGTACATGTGGGGAGGAAAAAAGAGCCCTTTCACTGAAATAGCGGTTGATCGATAAAGTAACTTTATAAAGGTCCTTTTAGCTGGTGTTATAATCCGTACTTTTCAGTTTGTTTTTTAGTTGAAACAGTATTTTTCTCTCACAATAAATCAGCCGAAACAGTGGCTCGGCTTGTTTTTTCAGCAAAGCGAAAGTTGCGTTTATCGACTTCACGTACACCGTTCGTGTAATTCTATTTCAAAAGGACACCTTTTTACACATCGGCTCCGTTCGCTTCGCTGAAAATACAAGCAGAAATACTGTTCCGACTGATTTGTTGTGAGAGAAAACACTGTTCCGGCTGAAAAAACAAGCTAAAAAAGACGAATTATAAGAGAAGCGAACATGGCCGATCTCATGTCCCAGCTCTAAATGAAATGTGGTTCCTACTGAGAAACCTTTAATCGTGGTGACAATTGTTTCAAGCACAGCGTCTGAATATACCGAAGTAACCGATCCGAATTCAGTAAAGCTTCCGCTCAAAAAATCAGTAATAAACCTGCTTTATAAAGTGGGGGTGATGATTTCACTATATTCGTCCCAAGTTTCGTGACGTGTAATCCAGTCTTTCACGTTGTCGTCATAATAGCACCACCGCCATACTAATGAATTTTAGAACCTCACGGATTCTGGTACAAGTCCCAACGCTGCTTTTTTTACTATTAGCCCCAAGTGTCATAGGATGGGATAAAAAAATAGATGCTCTACGTTTGTTATAATGGCTTACATAAGCTACATATATTTGAAGAGAGAAGATGATCCATGCTAAAAAATAAGAGAGTGATGAAATAAATGTTAGGTTTGTCATAATGGCTTACATAAGCTACGTATATTTGAAGAGATAGAAGGTGATACATGCTAAAAAAAAAAGAGCGATGAAATAAATGTGAGGTACGATGAAAAAAAAGTTTATTTATAATCCACAAGTAGTAATAGTTTGCATTATGTAAATAGTAGTCTCAATATTTTCGAGTGTACGTGAATCATTTTATTTGCACTAAGAGTATCCATTGGTGGTGCCCTGACAAACCCGTGTTTGTGGTTTGTTGTTTCATTCAGGTGGCGGAGAGGGCGCTGTACGTGTGGAACAACGAGCGGTTCCTGGAGCTGGCGACGTCGTCGCCGGGCGTGATGGAGAAGATCCTGCCGGCGTTCGTGGCGAGCGTGGAGAGCAACCTGGAGTTGCACTGGAGCAAGTGCGTGCAGCAGGCGACGGCCAGCGTCAAGTCCCTGCTCCAGCAGGTCGCGCCCGACCTGTACGCCCGGTGCGCCGACGACCTCGCCACGCGGCGGTCCGAGGCCGAGGTCGCCGCCGCCATGCGGGACGCCCGGTGGCGCAAGCTCGAGACAGCCGCCGCCGCCACCAAATAGCCCGCGCTGGTGCGACGACGTGTCAGTGTACATGCGTGAGTGGTGGGCTGGTGGTGGTACGTGTGGATGCGCCACGGCGCCGCCATTTTGGCTGGCAACCTGCGCAGCGGCCGTAAGGCTGTGATCGTCTGCCATTGTAAGTTTTATAAGCCGACTTATCATTCATGATATAATATTTTTTTTAACAAATCAGTCATATAAATCAGCACAACGCATAGAACAGCCGAACAGAGCTTAAGACCGAGACGACCGTGTTGTGCAAGCGAAGTTTGTGCTCCGTGGTAGTGGTACAGTGCCGGTGCAACGTTGGCGCAAAAGCTGCCGATCCCGGCCATCTCGCCTTGGCAAAACCGCGGCGACCGCTAGCGGCTTGCGACATGTGACGCCCGGCGAGCCCCACAGCGGCGCGCGTGAACCACAGCGCTGTCAGGTTTTGGAGGCGACCGTGAGTGAGAGGCCCGTGTCGCGTGGCGCGGGGTTAGTAGTAATAGGACGTGGGGGCGACAGTTTTGACCCCCGGTTTTTGGTTTTGGCCGTTCGGACATCCGGCGCGGCGGGTCGCGCGCTGGATGTTTCTCGGCTCGCCCCTCCACGCCGATGCGAATCCAGCAGAGAGGCAAGCTGTCAGGCGAGTCGCTTGTCCTCTACTCCCTCTGAAATGTTCAGTTCAGGGGCGATGGAATTTTACACTGAAAAGGTTGGCTGCCACTGCATCCATGTGATTCTGAAATGGGGCAGGCATTCGACGGCGCCTGATTACTCCTGCTGAAAAAAGACAACGGCAAAAGGTGGAAACCCTGAACAATGTAGTAGTGCTTCGTAAATCCTAGTACGTTTCACACTTTCGCTTCCCGTTTCAAGTGATTACTACTATTTATTGTTCCATGATTACAAGACAGAAACACATCAGATCTCTCTCGAAGAAAAGAAAACCTGCGAGATATAGTAGAAAAAATACGGCGACAGAAGGGACCAAGCTTTTTCCAGCCCAAATCCGCGTCCGAGGCGCCTGGCCCAGTGTCTAACCTGGTAGCCCGCACTCTAAGCATCCCAGTGGCCCAAGATTAGGAAACAAGGCCCTCTTGCGCACATGGACCGGTGCCACGGCCCACGGCCCCTTGCGCGATTGTATATAAGGGGAAAAAACTTATAATGCCGAGCACTTGAAGAGGTTATAAAGGCCTGTTGGGACTGTTCCGCTCTAGCTTTTCAGCTCTACTCAACTAACTCCACTATATGGAGCATCTCCTATGAAATTGTTGTTCATGCAACATATAATTTTGTTATTGTTTGCCTACAAAAATCATTGTAAGTTCTTTTTTTAATTATACTAGTTGGTTGTTTAAAATTATCGTATGAAAATTCATGCACCTAAAATATTGGGTAGGATTCCCCTAATTTGTTCCCAGATACTACTCATGTACGGCTGTACCGAGGCCAGAGGCCTGGCCACACCGGTCACCGGACGTACGAAAAGTTTCTTTGCGGCGACGCTCGTCTCCGGTAATGACACGCCGTACGGTTTCATGACTCGAGAATTGATTATAAACTAACGGGGATCAATCAGTATGACAAATTGACAATATACCAACAATCCATCATCAACTGGTGGGAAGCATGGCGATCGCAGTGGACAGGAAGCTGCAGGCAAGGCGTCGATTCAATCTTTGCTTTGGTTGCGTGGGAGCTGTGGAAAGAGCGGAATGCAAGATGCTTTCGCAGCGCAATCACCTAAATGCCGAACCTGCTGGCGTGATCAAACTGGAAGCAGAGCTCTGCGTGCAAGCGGGCACCAAGAATTTGAGTTGTCTTCTACGGCGAGCAGTAGCCTAGCTTAATGTTCTTCTAGCGAGGCCAATGCTCAATTGTAAAACCACTCGCTCCCATAGAGCGCCTTAAGCAGTGCTGTAATCAAACTCTTCTCTCTTAATATAAAAACGCGCAAATTTTGTACGTGATCGAGAAAAAAGACAAATTGACAATATCATTCTACTTTTGTACGCGCGGTTGCCTGTCATCACAAAGAAAAAACCGGATCCATTTCTGCGGCCACGTACTGGCGTCTTCTAGATGACGGTTTCGTACATTCGTTCCGTTACCGTTCACCTGTAGCCCACAGAGATTGAACATTGCAGCACACAACCAAGTTTCCGCAGGCGGCCCGCACCCGAATAACCAACCACAACCAGCCACGCACGCACCCGAACAACCAAGTACCGAGGGGGAGTAGCCGATTCCTTTCGGGACTGCTGATACGGAGCGAGTGCCCGAAGGATGAGACGCAACAGAGACAAGCCACCACCATCGTCTCGTTCCGTGATGCCAACCACCTGCCGGCCCTTTTCCATTGGAGATCGACTTTTCCAGCATCAGCTCAGCTCTGGCAATGGCCCGGTGGACATGGTTCACCGCGCACCAGGCTCCGTCGATCGGTCGGTGGACCGTGGACGTGGAGGAAAGGAAGCCCTGCCGACTGTGGCGTGCCCTCGCCAATTCCTCGTGCCGACACCGGAGAAGAACGAAGATACGAGGCTCTCGCAGTTGCGCCGGCGGGCGCCATGCGCCCATGCCTCGTGCGTGCGCTATTGGCGCACGGCGGACGTGGCGGAGCGTGCCTACCCTGGTCCTACACCTCGCCGCAGTCAAATACCCGCACGCACACGTTTGCGTCAACGACAGGGGATGGGAGATTTTCCGACCTAACCTTGCGAACTCCGCCACCACCACCCTCCGTTATAGGGTCGTCGTCGTCGACGGATTGCACGTCTCCTCCTCCGCGTCCATCAAATTTCTCACCACACCCATTCCGGTCCCCGAGATCGATCGATCGATCGTGCAAGCATGGACACGGACACGACGTCCACCGACTCCCAGTTGCACCCTGCTCCTGCCCTCTCCGCGGCGGGAGCGCGCGCCGTCGTATGCTCATTGGCCGCCCGGGGCGCCGAGAGCCTCGCCCGCGGCCTCGTCACCTGCGTCTTCGCGACAGGTCAGTGGGTTAGCGACCCTACGTACGTGTACGTCTGGGATTTAGCTGATTCATTCGTCGACCGATGCTGCTTGGCAGTGGGCACGGTCCTCGGCGCGATCACCGGCGGGCTGATCGGGCTGGCCACGGAGACGGGCGTGCTGCGCGGCACGGGCGTCGGCGGCATCACGGGCGCGCTGGTGTCCATGGAGGTCGTCGACTCGTCCCTCGCGTTGTGGCGCTCCGACGAGCCGGCCATCTGGAGCGTCGTCTACGTGGTCGGTGCCCCCTCTCGCTTTGTTGCGCCGACCGGCGCCCAGTTTCAAAGACGAATTCGCCGGCCGCCTGCCCTGACTCCTGTACTGACGCACCTTGTTTTTTAGCTCGATGTGATATGGAGCCTGCTCACCGGCCGCCTCGTACGCGAGAAGGTGGACCCCGCCGTGCTCAACGCCGTCGAGAGCCAGGTGCGCGCGCATGACACACACTGACCTCACCGTTCGCGCACCACACCACCATCACAATTCACAATTCACACCGACTCTTCCATGGCACTCCGTCGGTTCCTGCAGATGAGCGCAGCGGAGGCACCAGTCTTGCATGGAGACCACGCCGACATCTTCGGCACTGGCGGCACCAACGGCATGGCGAGGGTCGCCATCGACGCGCTCCCCGTGGTGAGGTTCACCGAGCGCAGCAACGTCGACGCCAGCGGCGAGCTCATCGCCTGCTCGGTTTGCCTCCAGGTACTGTTCAGCTGCTGATAGAATACTGCCATCCGTTGGTGCGTTGCAGATACCTCGACACGATTGCAGGCCGCAGCCAGTGTGCTTGTCTCTTTTGACGATCTCTGCCTCCGCAGGAGTTCGAAGCCGGCGACAGCGCGAGGAGCCTGCCGGTGTGCCGCCACACGTTCCACCTGCCGTGCATCGACGGCTGGCTGCTCCGGCACGCTTCCTGCCCCTTGTGCCGGCGCGCGGTCTAGGCCGTCCGTTCCCCTCTGCATGACAGTGTCCAACTCAAGGATAACCGTTCCTGCTTAAGGAAGTATGTACACTGGTAGCGTAATTTTTTTTTTTTTGGCGAAAGGGTAGCGTGAATTTTCTGTAGCCCATCAGATGATCAGATGGGCGTTTTGTAACATCTTTCCCATTGGTTAACAAATGCAGTATCTGCCCAGTGCACTTTGGCACATGGCGATGGCCAGACACCTGACAGGGTAAACGGCATCACATGGAAAGAGCAGCACCAAGATAGAGCGAATCCCCACCGATATCAAGCTAAAAGAATAATTACAAGCATAAGTTGCCCACAAGAATGACCCTACATTCAGCAACCAACCAACCAAACAAACACCATGGTACTCTACAGGCTAAAATCAGACAAAGATTCTAGGGGCCCAAAAACTGGGGCAATGCAACTAGCTAGGAGGTCCTAACATGGAGATCGCTGTTACTCATGTAGCATCCACCGCTATGTGCGAGTATGGCCCCCCAACGCAGGGCCGTTTATCAGTAGTAGCCTTCTCTGAATCTTTGTCATGGGCTCGTGCCAGAAGGTCTTCGTAGAGCTTCACTGAATCCTTTGAGAACTCAGCCAATGATTCGAAGATGCTGGCGAGGCCGATCTTGAACCCGTTGAGAGTGACGTCGTGCGTATCCCGCATACAGGCGTGATGCTTCGCTTTCTCTGTCTCAATCCTCTTCCTCAGGACATTGAGCATCTCTTTCTTCTCCGACAAGTGTTCCATGCGCTGCTTGGCATCTATCTCAGGCTTATGCTCCAGAAGCTTGGTGCCAATGATCCTGTTCTCTGCTCTTTTGTAGGCAGTTACATTCTTGTCCAACTCTTTTGCCAGGCTGTCCACCTTTCTCTTCTGCTGTTGCTCTTCCCCTTGCTTCAGCCATAGCACTCTCACACTTCTGAGAAAATTTCTCATGGTGAAGGCGACCCGCTTGTTTGGAAACTTGGACATTGTAGTGTACCAGTCATGGCAAATCACAACTAGAGTTGGGGCACCAGCTCTATCTGGAGCAATTGATGAGATTCCTCGGGAGTACCGGATAGTATCGGTCAGAATAAACTTCAATAACCAGCCATCAAGAGCTTCGATATATGCTTTCTGAGCATTGAAATAGCTAATAAAGCAGGATCTCCAATTCCTCAGTTCAACCTCCAACTTCAGAGTTGCATGACGCTGTGCATCGTTACAGAATTTGCCATAAGCAGGACATGTAAATGAATTCACCTCAAACATAATCTGTCTCTGGGTTTCATGTGAGTCAACCATTATTTTCCAAGATTTTGTAAAGCTGCAAAGGAGCAGCCAATTCATCAGTACCGATTGAAATGGAAAATACAGAACAGGTCCTATCCATAAATGGAAGAATAGCTTACCCCTGCAACAGCTCAACGAGTTGTGGCTGCAGTTCCTCATCCCGTAACTTTTGTATTCTATCGGATATGGATTCTACTGCTCGTAGTGAAACCCAGATTCTTGTGTACAAGTCTCTAACAGTTGTCCTGGTTTTTTCAGCACAACGCAGCTCTGAACCTTTGGCATCTTGGTTCCTCAGCTGAACACATTTCTTCTCATAGGTTTGTCGGATTTGATCTATAGTCTGGGCAGGATTGAGCTCAAATTGTTTCAGTACAGATGTACAAGAAATCAATACCAGAAAAGACAACAGATTAGCTTGTTGGACCACCCTAGGATGACTGCTCAGCAGTGAGGGAAAACATCAAGTTATAAATGGTCATAAGAAACGCATACTAGTCATGAAGTATTGAGAAAATATAGCATGTGCTCTCAATTTCAGAAAATATCAGATCAATATGGGTTTCTATAAGGAGACATCACATAACACATCCCCTGGCTCAAACAATCAGTAGCTGAACAGGTCGAAAGAGGTGTGGCTACTCATTCAGAGAATAATGGCATTCTAATAATTAAGCTACCAAATCAATTGTCAAAGGAGTCCAACATATGCAGTGACCAAGAACTTGTGAAATTTCAAGAACAATGAACAAAACCCACCTTGACTTCTTCATAAAGTTTCTTCTCCCAAGCATACAGTCTCCCTAAAGTCTGTGAATGACTTCCTGACTTCATTCCACCATAGTCTTCGAATATATCACTCTTAGTTTCACTCTTGTCTGTCCATGACAAACTATTTGAGCTTGCTCCCAGCTCGCTCCTGTAGGATGAGGATACCGATGATGGAGACCGATGCCATGTGATGGCATGAATTATATTTGACGAATTTTCTGCACCAGGATACAAATTGTAGAATTAATATGATTATTCGAAGGAATTAGAAATATACAGTAACTGATAAAGTGGTAACTATTGACATGTATTACTGGCACCAACAAAACCAAGACTCCACGAGCCTTTTACACCCCTATTGTTCTATCTTCGCAACAGTACAGACTCATGATGGTCGTCATCAAGCAGCACAGCTTTAGCCTTTTGCAGCCCAAAAGGATCGCTTTTGCAATTGAGCACAGCAAGCCCTCGTTTAGTTCGGCGCGGAATCGGCGCCGTCAGAGTTACTGTAGCCACAGTAGCTACTGTAGCGTTTCGTTTGTATTTGGTAATAATTGTCTAAACGTTGACTAATTAGGCTCAAAACGTTCGTCTCGTAAAGTACAACCAAACTGTGCAATTAGTTTTTGATTTCGTCAACATTTAGTACTCCATGCATTACCACAAATTTGATGTGACGGGGAATCTTCTTTTTGCATAGTGCCAAATTCTACAAGTTGGGGGAACTAAACAGGCCCCTGTACTACCATCGAACTGGCTATGCAAAATGACCCATGAAATGACTGCAAAGCGGAAAAGATGATAACAAATTGACAGTGGTCGGCTATTACATCAGCCAGGAATATTTAATGGCACTTTTAAAAGACATACGGTCTGTCTAAACTCCAGAGGCGCAGGGGGTCCTAAAATAAGAACAGTAATCTCATTCCATACCATCCTGACTTGTGAGTTCTCAACTCCTGATTGAGTATAAAAAGGCTTCACGCAACCAGGAATAACAAAAGGGCTTCCTTGGATAACATATTCGTCCAAACGACTCAAAACTCGCAGCTTTATTGCAATTTCCAGAAGCAGCAAAAGGATTTGACCATTGCGGCACCATGTTTGTAGCATAGATCGAGCAAGCTGCAACGAGAGGGCGAAATCGCTGGAGGAAAAGCAATGGAGCGCGGTAAAGGCTGGACCTTTGAGCTCGGGGACGCGCGTGGCGGCTTCGAGCATGGCAGACACCTCCTTGCCTGCCTCGGCGGCCGCCGCGAAGAGCTCCTCCACCTCCTTGAGCGCCGCGAGCAGCTCGCGCCCCTGCGGCGCCACGGCCACCTCCAGCCCGCCGTTGTTCGCCGCCATCTCGCACACATCTTTAGCCTCTTCTTGGGGGGTTAAGACTCCAAGAGAGGCCTCTGCTTTGGGGGGCTTGGTTTCCACCGCCTTCGCCCCCTCCTCTTCCTCCTCCGCCTCCTCCAGTTCGGGGATGCCCTCTCGCTCCCTCACCGCTCGCATCTCCTCGTCGCTGATGGCCGCGGCCACCTCCTCCGTCCCGTAGAACGGGTTAAAGAAGTCCCACCCGCCGACCGCCGACGCCGCAGGGGGCGGGGGCGGTGGCGGCGTCGCCGGGGATGGGTAGTAGTACGGGCACCCCATCTCCGGCGTCTGCACGCCGCCGCCCCCATCTTCCGCGGCGGCCGGTGATGCCGGCGCTGCCTCCTCCTCCTGCTCCTCCTGCTGCGGGGGCGGCGGCGTGGTGGGAGAGGGAAGCCCCTGCACTTGAACCTGCGCTGGCTTGGGGGAACCCGGGGGCGAGCTGCTGGGGGTGGGGAGCGTGATGAGGATCGGCGCCGGCGCGGTGTGGCGCGCGACGAAGACGTCGAGTGCGTCGGCAACGGAACGGAGCGCCGCCGCGTAAGCGGCGTGCGCGTCGGCCAGCGCGAACCGGCGCTCGGCCGCCGCCTTGATGAGACGCTTCCGGTCGCGGCACACAGCCACGGGGTCCCCGCCGTCGCCGCCGCCGCCGGCAAGGCGGGAGGCGGCGCAGTTCCCCATCGATAGCTACGTACCCTACCCCTGCCCTTGCCAAGGTTTACGCAGGGTTTAGAGTGGAGTAGGGGGAGTGAGAGGATGGGGGAGAAAGAGGGGTAGTCAAAGTCAAAGCAGCGGGGGGTGTGAGTCAGGTGCGTGGTGGAGAGGAGTGAAATTTTGTTGGTTGTGGGTGTGGGCTAGTGGGGGAAAAAAGGTGGATGAGAGGGGGAGGGGCAGGGGGAGGAAGGAGGCCCTAAATTCTGGTGATGATGGCAGGGGAATCTTTTGTTAGTGATTTGTTTGTGGGTTGGATGTTGGAAGGAGTGATGACCCATTATATGGCGGGAGAAATTGCTATGCTCACATGGTGGAATGCTGCTCCACAAGAGGGTTTTGTACGTGGCAGTTGCTATGGACAAATTTCTTTACAAGTCACCTGGTTTGGAGCTATATCCATGGTAGAGTTATCCGGCTACAAGCAGAATGTACTAACAGTAGCTTTTTTTTTAGTAAAAAAAGAGTATCCTATGCTTTTGAGAAAGTTTAAAAAACTACTGAATAGCTCACAACACACCCATAAAATATTAACAAGATCTGTTATACCTCAAATCTCGCCAATGTTAAAGATTATAACATTGAAGGTTTAAATTCCCAGTTTGCTGACAATCTCCATAATTTTGCTGACTTTATCCACATCCTTTGTCTTGCCCTAAGCACCACCTTTCAATTCTGCAAAAATGATTAAAAAACATAGAAGATAACTTTAGTTAGGTTGTCGAGAAACTTATGTGTATCAACCCCCCATGAAATTAAAACAACATATTGTAGAGGTCAATTTATCCTTATTGGTACTATTTGTTAAACGCGCACAGAAAAATCCATAAGCACACGGATACTGTTGTAGCTTTTACCCGAAAGTA